AAGACCAAAAGAGAAAATCAAGTCAAAACAGAGGCATTCAATGCTTTGAATCTGAAGGATATGGTCATATTAGACCTGAATGTCCCAACTTCCTCAAGAAATAGTAGAAGGTTTTCACTGCATCTTGGTCTGATGATAATAAGTCAAAAGATGAAGACAATTATGAAACTCCTAAACTTGTGTTGGCTCTATCTAGTTGATGGGAAGATGAAGTTAAAGCTTATGATGAGAATGATCTTTATGAAGACCTGGATATGTTCTACAAGGATACTTGTGACAGGTGTGAAGAAATCCTCAAGAAAGAGGAAGAGCGGAGGAAGATCATTACTGATTTAGAGAATGAAATTAAGCAACTTCTTAGTATTGTTTATCATCTACAAACTGAGGTAACTTGCTTAAATTCAAAGCTTGATAACTTGATTGATTCCATAAACATGGTGAAAGAGGATGAAATTACCAAGGTTCATTATCAATATGATAATAAACTGAGGAAAATGTCAGAAGGTGAGGTCTTTTCTTTTGAGAAGAAGAAAGAGTTCAACATGTCCAAGAATGTGTTACAACATCCTAGCAGAAAAATGAATAGTCAAATCAACCTCAATATATTTAGATATGTCACTAATGTAGTGGGTCTGGTCATATAAAGCCTTTTTGCTTCAAATTATATGGAGATAAAAAATCTTCAGTTCGTTCCAAGGCTAAGAAAATGAGCAAGAAGAGAAGTATTAAAAATAGGGGTATTAACCTTATAGCTCATACTTCCTTGAGAGAATCAACTAGTAAAGACTGGTACTTTGACAGTGGATTCTCTAGACATATGACATGGGTTCAGAAAATGTTGGTGGATGTCAAGCCTTATCCTACCGGTTCTGTTAGATTTAGTGATGGTTTTAACATATATATCAAAGGAGTTGGAAAGCTGATGTGTGATGGTTGTCCCAGGTTAGAACATATGTTACTGTCAAAGGATTGACTGCTAATCTTATTAGCATTAGTCAACTGTGATTACTCTGGATATACTTGGATAATTTTCTTAGAGAAAAATCAAATACATTTGAAGTCTTCAAAGATCAATGTCAAAGCATTCAAGAAGAGAAGATGAGTGTGATTGTCAAAATCAGAAATGACAATGACAAGGAGTTTATGAATGCAAAATTTTCTGAATTTTGTGATTCTGAAGGAATAAGCCATGAGTTCTCTTATTCCTGGGAAACTCAAGGAGATGTAATTGTTGAGCAATACAAGAATCTGCTAGAGTGGTGCTTAGTGCTAAGAAATTTCCATTTGAGTTTTGGGCAGAAGCTATGAATATTGCTTGCTATATTTATAACATGGTCACCTTGAGGGGAGGTATTGTCTCTACTCCCTATGAGCTATGGAAAATAAGGAAACCTAAAGTTAAATACTTTCATATTTTTGGAAGTAAATTCCAAATCTATGCTGCTAAAGATCAAGTGGACAAGAAGGATCTTGTGGGGGATGAAGGGATATTTCTGGGTTACTCTTCAAGCAGAAGAGCTTATAGGATTTATAACTCCATAACTGGTATGAAAATGGAATATATCAATGTGAGAATTGATGATTTAGTTGTTGAAGAGAAACAGGATGTCAGAGACAATGTTATAACATCCTATGTGTAAATTGATGAAGCACTAAGAGAGAAGACTAGTGAATTCACACACTGAGTTAGTGAATTATTAATCCAACACATGTCTGTCTACTGACAGATAGACATAACAATCCAAGGAACTAACTAGAACTCAGTATGACAAAGGAGACGTCACTGAATTAAGTGTGAAGATATCAGATACTGATGAATGTTTTGCTTTAAGGAATAGCTTGGGTTTCTGGGTCAGTAAGAAGCAAGAATGTGCTTATTGGTATGCTGCTGAAGATGAAGGTAGGAAAACAAGAGTAAGTTTCTCTGAACTGGTGTTGAAGAGACATAATGTCAAGATAAATGTCATGACATTTCTTTCTGAAGATCTGAATTCTTTCAGATATCTCATTCAATATGACTGCAACAAGAACCTTGGTAGTTGTAAAAGACTAATCAAGAATCTTATTGAAGGAAAGGTTATTACTATGGAGCATATGGACAACAAGGAACAACTTACTAGTACGAAAAACAATAGGATTAAATCTTGTAATATTGAGGAGTTATAAATATTACAAAAATGAAGGAATACAACTAGTGCTGCATCTTTCCTCTATACTCTGAGGCATGACATGTCTGGACAAATTTCTACTGAGAAGTGAAGGAAGAAAGGTGTTCTGCAAGACAGTGAGGCTGGTTACAGCACCATGGAATGCAAAAGGCTCTTTGACAGAGGCAAGATGTGTAAAACCAACTGAACTTGGCCAAGAAGTTGTGTTTCCATCTATTTGTTTCCATCTGGTGCTCATTATTAGTGGTTCTGTTGTATGCTTCCATCTGTGGTATTGCTAGTATGTAATATGTGTTTCCATCTGTGGTATTGCCTGAGTGCAATATATTATGAAGTACTATGTGATTCCATTATGTACATTTACTCTATTTGTTTTAGTCCATATTTTGGCTAAAAGGGGGGAGTAAAATGTTTGTGTCTTGATGTTACATCACATGTCTTAACATGTTGATTTGGCACTGTGATAAGACTGTGTGCTACTATAGGAGAGTAGCTGTTTGAGGTTTCTTATGCAATCATTAAGGGGAAGCATGCTTGCTCATGCTTGTGTATGCTAAAGTTGTTGCTGCTACTGCTGTGGGTTCTGCTACATGTGTTATGATGTGGGATTTTCCCTTTAGGGGGAGCTAATTGTGTATGACAGGGGGGTACTGTACCTATCTGATTGTATAAGTTTTTGAGTTGTGTTGTTGTGTTTACAGAGTTTACATGGTTTCATGTAACTTGTGTTTGTGGTTTTATTCCTCTCTCCAGGATATTTGGTCTTTGGTTGTTTTAGCTAAAATTTACCAAAGGGGGAGATTGTTAGGTCTGCGATTTTATGGTTGGTAACAATTTTCGTAAAACAAGTAGTTGACAACAATTTTATCAAAACATGTTTTATTTGGAAAACATGTATTGCATCCTAATATTGAAATAATATGTCATAACATCTTGTCCAGTTGGTACAACATAATCTGTAGGTATCTTATTTGACAGATGTTCCAGCAGATATTGTAACATGTTACAATAAAACATCTTGACAGTATGCTGGATATTTATCCTTGGAGATTTGATTTGAAAAAATGAGTATTTGGAATATTCTGTACTCATAACTGGCGCAGGCAATCAAGGATTTTATTATAAACAAGAGCAGATTTGATTAGCTTCTAAAAAGGATCATTAAGAATTCTTAGGAAACAATTATGAGATTTGTTTCTATTTTGCTGGAGAAGATTTTGCAGGTTTTGGGAGTTGCTGATTGGATTTGATTGAAGAGTCCAAGCCCACTGCAAAAGCCTATATAAGGATTTATCCAAGACCTAGTTTTTAAGCATAGTTTTTATTGTAAAACCTTGTGAAAAATAAGGGTTTAGGGTTTGATTGTCCTTAGGTTCTCCGTCTGTTTTTTATACATTCTCATGTATCTTTGATGCATTTGAGTTGACTGGTTTTTACTTGCTTGTCAAGTTATTTTTCTCACTCAAAGCTCGTAGGAATAAGTTGAGTATTTTCTTAGTGAAGCTTTTAAGAAAACTAAGTATTTGTAATTTGGAAGTGTGTTCTTCCTTTTTGGTTTCTTGAGACATTCCCTGGGATTAAGATTGTTTGATATCACTACAGTGATTGGAAGTGAGTAGGTTCTCATATCTAGAAGGTGCCTAGGTAGAAGTTGTACTGGATAGTGATTAAGTGAGAGGTTGTAAACGGGGGAGTTTAGCTTCGAATAAATACTACTAATAGTGGATTTACGTCTTGGCTTGGTAGTCCCCAGAGTAGGTGAGTTTTCACCAAACCAGGTTAACAATTCTGTCTTTTTTACTTTCTGCAAGTTACAGTTCTAAATTGTTGTTATCTTGTTTTTGTTCTATCAACAGGTGTCATAACATCTATTGTGACATTGTGTGTTGTTAAGACATCAGTCTTGACATCTGATATTGTGCGTGCTAGAATTTTAGTTTCTAACTCCAAATGGCTTGACACTTGCTTTTCCACTTCATACCATACTTTACTTAAAATCAACTTTGATCACTATCATATTCTTCTGAATTTTATGCATAAAGATATTAAGTTTATTTCCCAATTTAAATTCATGCAAATGTGGACTTTCTACAAGGATTTCAAGAATATAGTTTCTCAATCTTGGAAGACTAAAATATATGGTTTCCATATGTATGTTTTAGACAAGAAGCCTAGGTTCTTAAAGCTAATCTTAAAGATTTGAATAAGAATTGTTTTGGTAATGTGCATGAAAACGTTAAAATTGTTGAAGATAACCTTTCAAATATTCAGAAATCCATTGATAGGCAGAGTTCCACATACTTACTTCAGCAGCAAAAAAAGGAGGCTAAAAAAGTCCTCAATGAAGCTTCTAACATAGAAGAAAATCTTTGGAAGAAAAATGCTAGAGTGAACTGGTGCAATAATGGTGACTAAAATACTAAGTTTTTCCACAAATATGCAACCATCAAGAGGACCAATAATTTAATTCATGCTTTAAACATAAATGACATTGTTACTACTGATATGACTTCTATTAAGAATCACATTCTTAATCATTATCAGAATCTCTTTAATAATAATGTTGTTTTGCAGGATAATGACTTGGTGGAAGAAACCATACCTACCTTGATCAACGAAGAAACCAACATGATCCTCACTCTCATGCCAACTGACTTGGAAATAAAGGAAGCATTCATGAATCTCAACAATGATAGTGCTCCTGAACCTGCTGATTTTATAGCGTTCTTCTATCAAACTTATTGGGACATCATTGGTCAGGATGTAACAAATTCTATTGCTCAATTTTTTGAGGAGGACTGAATACTTCCACACTACAATTCTAATACCATAATGCTTATTCCCAAGGTTAAGAGAGCTAGAAAAGTGGAGCATTATAGGCCTATTTCCCTTGCTAATTTTAAGCATAAAATCATCACTAAACTCCTTGTTGACATGTTGGCTTGCATTCTTCATAAGACTATATCCAAAGAGAAAAATGGTTTCATTCAATTGGAGACCATGTTAGTTATTTCTCTTATTTCATTGAAAATGGTAATCCCTTTATTGTTGAATTTATGGGGTGATTATAGCTTTGAAAGTTGCTTTTGACAAAAATCGAGACAACCTTTAAATTGAGTCAAACTCTTTAATCGTGATTAGAGCAACTCATAATACAAACCTTGTCCCTTGATCTATCGTTGGTTAAATAGTTTAAATAATTTCAAGAATCTTGATCTTATATATATATATATATATATATATATATATATATATATATATATATATATATATATATATATATATATATATATATATATATGTGGAAGAAAACTCTTGGGGCTGATTCTCTAACTAGTTTACCTTAAGAATAGGCATCATTCTTGATATAATCATTAAAGATGTTTGAGAAGATTTCGTAAACAACATGCTTAGTTTTCTCAAATATAAATTGATGTCTTTTTGAGTGGTTTTAATCTTGGACCTCATTTTTTTTATCCTTCTTCTTTTTATTGAATTCTCATGTTTCAAAATTTTTGTCTCATATTTAAAAAAAAATTCAACACTTTTATTATTTAATTCAATATTTCATTTAAAACTTTTTTGATAAAGTTTTTTTTTAAAAATTGCATCATTAAATTAATATCAATTGCATCTCTCACAAATAAATATATTTATTTATTTAGTTTTAATGATAATATTAAATATTCAATATAATGAAGTAATTTAATTTATAAAACAATAATCATAATTAAGTAAATATATTATTTTCTCCATTATATTTTTCTTAATATATTTGAAGGGAGCGTTGGGAGTATAATTGGATTTTAAAAAGAGTGTCTATCCAATGAACCTTAAATTGTAACATTCAATGCATTCAATAAACTTTCCTTTGATATTTTTATTTAAATTATTTTACTTTATAATGAATTTCTTCTTATCTCTTTCATAAGATTTTTTTTTTAAAATTGTATTTATATTAATACTATTTATTTCCTTAATAACATAATTCTAGTCATACTTTTTGACCAAATATATATTATTAAAAAAACTTATTAATTTCCTATTTCAATTAAATCCATATTTTAATATTACAGCTAACTTTTTAGATAATATATTTAGAGACGAATACATTGAATGTGTTATTAATTTAGGTAATTATTTTCAAGAAAACTAATATCATTTGAAAAATGTATAAAAAGTGGAACAAAATATTCCACTTCAGTGGCATAACATGGTAATTTTCTCGGTCATCAAGGGCATAATATAACCCAAAACGTTTAATTTAGAAGAAAAAAAAGACAAAAAGCGGGTCAGCGGAAACATAAAGGTTAGGCCGTCCAACCCTACTTTTGCAGCTTTAAATAGAAAAAACAAATTAAATTAATACAAAAAAAAGAAACAACTTTATCCCCTTCAAATGACCATACTACCCCTCATTTCAAATTCAAACAAATCCATTTATAACATTTTTAATTACCCCTGACGGATCTCAAATTTTTTCTTAACCAAATTGTATTTATCGGGTTTAGGAATTGGCGTAAATATAATAAATATAATATTAAAAATAAAATCTCATTTTTAATCTTTTTTGACCAGAAATCTCATTTTACTTATTACGTTTATTAAAAATTAATTAAAAATAGTATTTCTTGTTTTTTCCTTGGTTTTTTCTCCCTGAATTAATTTATTATTTTTTAATTCTCGTAACTGTAGTATTTATTTTGAACTTTACATTTTCTCTCTTTTTCATCTTTCAATTCTTGCAGCTTTGCGAAAACCTACCACCCAACAGATTTATTTTTTGTAAGTTCTTTTTATTTTTCTTTCTCTTTTCTTATTTTTCGTTTTGTTTTTGTTTTTTGTATTTTATTTTTTCATTTTCTGGGGTGAGTCATGAGTGTGCTAGTTGAGTTCTGGTTGAACTGAAAATAAATAAATAAATCTCAATAATTTTTATTTTTATTTTTGGTTTCAGATTCAGAACAAGATTGGTGAAGTCTGGAATCACAGTGACAGGTCATGATCTTTGCATTTTGTAGAATATCCATGGCTTCATGATGTTAATATTCTTTTATTGTTTTTATTTTATTTTATTTTTTATTTTTGTATTTGTTACTCTATTTTTTCCGTTAGTTTCAGCTTTTTGTCTTCTAAAGTTCAGTAAAATGTTGAAGTTTTTTATTTATTTTTTTGTTTTTGTGGTTTTTTTTGGATGATTTCTTGTTTAATTTATGCTTGTGCCTGAGAAATATCTGGAGTGAATCAATTATGATTGGTTTCCCCCTCATTTTCGATAATCAATTTTTTAATTTTTTTATTCAAGTGGTTTTTTATTTTTGATTTTTTTTAATAGATTTGTACTGTTTTACTAATATCTGGTATTTTGCTTTTAAAGTTTTAATGGCTAATGATAATAAATAGTTGTAGTTTCTTTCTCATCTTAGGTAAATTTTTTGTTTTTGTATTTTTCAGAAATTTAAGAAAAAAACTGTGATGGTAATAAAATAACTGCAATTTTTTTTGTTAAGATCTTCCTGCTGAACCAGTGTGTTGAGAATTTTTTCATCTGATTTTATGTATAGATATAGTTCCATTTATATATTTCTCCTAATAAATTTTTTTTTATTTTTTTTTATTTTTTTTTTTAAATTTTAATTAATCTTCTTCATTTGTTAGATAGATCCTTTGATTGGTTTTCATTGTGATTTTATAACATGCTCAACAAGGTTTGAAGGTGTTGATGTGTTTGTGAAAATCTTTAGTGTTTGTAATGACATGTGCTTCTGATGTGTAGCATAGACACTTCAGATTTAAGGCGCGTATGATACTGATACATGTGATTATGTTTACTTCAATTTTCTTAAATTATTACTGTTGTCAAAATCTTAGTGTCTGGTGTCTGTGACTGTGTTTGTGGATGTGCTTTAGAACCGGAATACTTTTTCTGATTGTTTTATACTCTCTGGAATTGTAGGTGTTTGTTTCGTAATATAGACTTTGGGGAGTGAAAGTTCGGTATATGCATCATGGAAGGAAGAGAAGGTATCAATCCTGGGGTAACAGTTATAGGTGCTGAAGCTCCATCAGCTTATCATGTAGCACCAAGGACTGAAGCTCCAAACCAGGTTCATAACCCCGAAGCAACAGCGGTTGCGGCAGGTGCTGTTGCCGCTGATGCTTCTGCTATCATTGTCTCACCGGTGAGTGTAGGTTTGGATGGATCGGTCAAGAAGAAAAGGGGTAGACCAAGGAAATACGGGCCAGATGGGTCTGTCAACATGCCGTTGTCACCATTGCCTATCTCATCTTCGGCTCCCCCTTCTACTAATGACTTCTCGTCCGTGAAGCGAGGGAAACCACATGGGATGGAATACAAGAGGGCGAAAAAAGTTGTGATGGATCATCTTGGTAATTGTTAAATTTAATGCTCTTGTTGATAACTTTTACTTGTTTATCAGGTGACATTCATTTTTTTACTAACCTTTAAATTTATCTAAGTATTTGAAGTATGATTTAAGGTTTTCATGAACTTATTTGTGAGCTATGCTTCTGAATCTCTATTTACTCGAATATTTCAAGTGATTTTTAAGGCTTCCGTTGTCTTACTATATGAGTTGCAGAATTTTGTATAATCTTACGATTAGTGTTTATAATTCCACGATTTACGAATTGTATTGTTGCTTTCTTTCTATGTTTCAACTCAGTTCAGTAATATAGATTATTGGTACTTCTGTAGGTGAGATGAATGGACACGCTGACGGTACAAACTTTATGCCGCATTTCATCACTGTCAATGCTGGCGAGGTATGTTTGCAGGGTCTAAACTTCATCTAACTCGTATTATTTCGCGTTTAATGTATCTCTTATTTAAAGATATTGCTGCTGCTTGCTAGTTCATATTATATATACTTTTTGGTTGTTGTAGGACATTACAAATAAGGTGATATCATTTTCGCAACAAGGTCCGCGGGCAATATGTGTCTTATCGGCTAATGGTGTGATTTCAAATGTTACACTTCGTCATCCAGACTCTTCTGGGGGTACTTTGACTTACGAGGTGCAGTAAATCATATTTTTTATCCAATGCCTAATACCTAAGTTCATTACAAGCTTTTGTATGAAATTGATTATTGTATATATTTTTATTGTTTTTATAGAAATATTATTGTGAAATAAATTTGTATCTAGTCAAATAGATAAGGTGTGGCTTCTTGAATGTGAAAATAGTCAGAAACCTAAGATTCCAAAATCATGTTTTTATTTCTTTTTTATTAAATGGCAGAAAGCATCTTTATATGTATTTGTATTTTATTCTTGATTTGCACTTTCAAAAACGAAAGATTTCCTTGTCTTAAAATGATGAGGCTCAGAATATTTCTTTCTTTGTTTAGGATTTTTTTTTAATTTTTGACATGCATGCTTGGCTTGAAATGACAGACACAAAAGACTGCTTTTATCGTAACCTGTGCTTGTATGTTGATGTATTCATTCACAATGGTTTAGTTTTTTTTTCTTCCGAAATACGTTATTGCAGGGTCGTTTTGAGATACTTTCCTTGGCTGGATCATTCATGCCTACTGATAACCAAGGAACAAGAAGCAGGGCAGGTGGAATGAGCGTCTCGCTTGCAAGCCCTGATGGCCGCGTTGTAGGCGGTGGAGTTGCTGGTGTTCTTATAGCTGCCACTCCTGTGCAGGTAAACATCGTTTCACTCTCTTACAGTTCTTACAGTTGAGTCAGTTCAACGATGCAAACAGTTCCGGTGTACTCGTTAAAAGGAACCACATGTTTTCCTTTCACATGTTTGCCAAGCTGAATAGGATTGAAATTTGAGTAGTGGCTATTGTCTATTTGGTTTGAGAAAACATTTTCTATTATATTATCACTTTTAATCATGAGGTTGCTACTTTGTTTTCAATCCTTTTCATGTTTCCATAGATCATAGGGTTTCCTATACGAATCTTTTGAAACTGGAAACAATCTATATAAATCTTTTGAAACTGGAAACAATCTGATACTTTAATACTTAAATGTGAAAACATGATTGAATGTAACCACATTTGTCGGTGTCAGACAATAGACACGCCTTAAATTTGAAGCGTCCATGTTTCTTTCTCAAAAGAAGGATCACTTATATTTGTCATGGTTTTTATCAGGTGGTGGTGGGAAGTTTTCTACCAAGCGGCCAAGATCAGAAACTAAAGAAGCCAAAGTCTGCTGATTATGCAGCAGCCACATTTACTCGAGCCACTGAAGTATCCGCAGAACCACCACCAGCCCAAACTTTTGATGCTGAAAAAGAGGATATCTTGAGGGACAGTGGTGGACGTGCACTTCAAAATATCGGAGCCCTTAACTCAAGTTTAACCTCTCCTCCGCCGCCCACCGCTTTTCGAAGAGAAAACTGGGTCAACATGCACGCCATGCCGGACACAAGAAAGTCCCCTACTGATATAAACATATCTTTGCCTGATAGTTAAGTTCATGATCAACTTGGAAATTGTTTGTTCTGACGAAGTTTATCACCGAGATGTTTTATTTAATGTTACAGTGTTCTCTGTCATCTTAGATTTGGCTTAAACATATCTGTTACTATAGGGTGCAGTTGACAGTGTTGGTAGTTGCAGCTAGGTAGAGTATGAGTATCTCCGATTTTTCGGCTGATTAGGTAGATACAGCACAATGGATTATGATGATGATGATGATGAGCAGGCTAATTCTGATGTAATGTTACTTTGTTTGCCTATTTACTTAGGACTGCATTTGTTGAAGCATTTTTTTTCTGTTTTGTTTGGTCACTCTACTTTGTTATGTGGAATGATTTTGGTCTCAAAATTCTGTTTCTCCAGTTAATCCAGTAGGTGATATTCTATTAAATTACTCATTAAATAAACTGACATGGATCATTTAGTGATATGCCAAATTGTGGATAGATATGGTGTGCACTGTATTCTATGAATTTTAAAAATAAATTGCTGGTTTTACATGTAAGTTCAATTCTTTCAATAAATGTTTTAGAAAACACTATAGGATTGCCTTCTAAAAGGGTTTGGATGAAAGAATTTAGAAGACAAAGGAGAGATGGTAATGTTGTAGGTAGTAGGGGTGTTCAAAACCAAATTGGTCTAATAGAAAATCATAAAATCAATCGTAAAAAATCGTATTTGATTCGGATGTGTTTGAGTCATTTTCTAACGGAACCGCGCGGTTCAGTTTGATTCGCGGTTTGTATTTTACAAATCGAATCAAACCAAACCGCATTATGTTATTAAATTTTACTAATCAATATATATATATATATTTCTTTAATCCTTTAGAGAAATCAACATGTATTATGTGTATATTTTATCATATTCTTTTTATGATCTTTATTTTAATTTACAAATCATAAAAAATGAAATATTATTTATTTATAAATACTATTTTCATAAAATATATTTTATCGTATTTTTTGTATAATATTTATTTAAGAATGCAATCTTATGTATATCATTCTTTAGATTTAGATAAAATTATATACGCAATTTTATGTATGAAATTATAAATTTATTTTGACAATTATAATTTTTTTAATAATAATGTATGAACGATTAAACACAATTATATTTTTCTCTATATGTGTATGTATGGTTCAATAATTTTTTTTTATAAAAAACCGAACCAATCGAACCAATTGAACCAATCTAAACTGCATTAGTTTGGTTTGGTTTGGTTTGGTTTTATTTTTAAAAGTCAATCAAACCAAACTAAACTGCATGTTTTCTCTCTTGCGATTCAGGTGATTTTTTGCTTCAAAACCGCTTAAATCGCACCGCGAACACCCCCAGTAGATAGGGCTATTCATGTTTAGTTCAGTTAGAAAACTGAACGGAATTGAATTATGATAAAGATCATCGGGGTTTATGGTTCATAATTCTTAACTATATCAAACAGTCAAAAGACAATTTTTTTTTAAAACCGAACTATTAGTTAAAGAACGGAACTATTATGTTTTTTTCGAAATTTCTTTTAATAAAAAATTTAAATTTGTTTTTAACATTTTTTATTTTCAGTTTCGATTTAGTTGGGGTTCACTTTAATTTATTTGTTACTCATTCTGTCTCACAATGATTCACTTGTTAAAAGTAATTCATATTCAGAAGGTAATGATCAGAAGATGTTTGACTAAGAAGTAAAAGTTATTGAGGTTGCGATTTTGTTTCAAAAGTTGTGTCTGAGCTTCTAGGTTTAGTAGTTGTTTACCCATATGGTAGTTTAGCTTTATTGTTAGCTTTAGTTTTGTCTATGTGATATTTGATTTCACTGTGTATTTAAACAAGTTTGTAGCTGGTTTACATCAATGCAGCGTCTCTCTCTCTCTCTCTCTCTCTCACACACACACACACACACACACACATTCTCTCACATTCTCTCACATTCTCTCTCTCTCTCTCTCTCTCTCTCTCTCTCTCTCTCTCTCTCTCTCTCTCTCTCTCTCTCTCTCTCTCTCTCTCTCTCTCTCTCTCTCTCTCTCTCTCTCTCTCTCTCTCTCTAAGTTTGTTATAATTATTTTCTATCTCTTTCTCTTTCTTCTTCCATCTTCATCTTCATCTTCAACCTTGTGCACCAACAATTGGTATCTAGAGCTCCAATTCGATTCACATGGAAACACGAGTGTACGTGAGGCGTGTGTAATAGATTTCGTTGCTTGAATTCACGATCGAAATCGTAACACAATTGCATTTCTTGATTTTGTGGAATCGGGAAACACGAGTGTTTGGTGAGATCTGATATATGTTTGAGTTTTTTAGTGCATAAGAACGAAGATGAACGACAGAAACAATTTGAATACAAAGTTTCTTGTGTTTGATGGAAAAAATTGGAATCAGTGGATGATTCAAATGCTTGTGTTATTCGGTGCTCAAAACATTCTTGATCTTGTTACTGAAGGTTACATAACGATTGTAGTGGATGGACAGAGGAACATAGAAACAAGCAAAGAGATACGAGAAAGAAAGATCAAAAAGCGCTGTTCTACATCCATTAGTGTGTGGATGTGAATGTGTTTGAGAAAATCGCTAATTCGACGATGATGAAGGTTGCGTGGGATATACTGACACGATATTACGGCGGTGATGCATCGGTGAAGAAGGGAAGCTTCAGTCTCTACGTAAGTAATATGAGAATCTTATTACTGAAGAATAATGAGAAGGTACCCGATTATTTCTCCAGAGTGATTTTGATCACAAATGAGATGAAATCTCGTGGAGAAACTCTGTCTGAACAAGTAATCATTGATAAGGTATCGAGATCTCTTACTCCTCAATTTGATTACATTGTTGTAGCAATTGAATATTCTAAATGTCTGAACACCATGAGAATTGAAGAGCTGTAAAGCAGTCTAGAGGCATAAGAGTTGTGTCTGACTGAAAGAACCTCTTAGAGATAGAGAAAGAGCAGGCTCTGAAGGAATCTTCTAGAAATAAGTATCAGAAGCAATCTTGGTCAGAGGTTAAGAAGAGACATGGTGGTTCTCAAAAGTCATAAGTGTGGATGCATTTCTCTTATAGATGTTTTGCATGATGTCAAAACTAGGAATTGATTTAGCTTTTCAATACATTGAATAATATCTCTGAGTATTTGTGTGCACTCTTGCATTAGAAGTTATTAGGAACCTTAAGAAGGATATAGAACAAGTTTGGGTTGTTTATCCATTGGTCTTATAAGTAAAAAAATCATTTTTTGTACAAAATTTATGTGCATGTGTCGACACATATGAGTTTTGTGTTGACACATGTGTTGTTGTTTTAAAGCATATAAGCCTCTGTAAGTACGTGTCAACTTATCTTGTTGCTCGTGTCGACACACACATCTAAACTACTCTATGTGTTGGCACATACGAGTTTCGTGTCGATTCATGTGTGTTGACTCATGACCTGCTATAGGTCGACACATATGTCAAATTCTTTCATGCATGTACCGAGACATAACTTACATGTGTCGACACATCCTGTACCAAACAAAAATCAATTTTCTTTTGTGTTTCTAGGTCTTTCTTTTGCCTCCAAGTCTCACGCCAATAGATATATATATATATATATATATATATATATATATATATATATATATATATATATATATATATATATATATATATATATATATATATATATATATATATATATATATATATATATATATATATATATATATATATATATATATATATATATATATATATATATATATATCATGCATGCATCATTTTCATTTTGGTGAAACTATAAACACTTACTTGATTGCTCTTCATCTCCAACATTGACCCTATGCATACACACAAATAAAGTACACATAATTATTCAATGTTTGGGTGTCATCTAGACTCAATTGACAATATTCAATTTAGGTTGGTTGTAATCTAAGATTGGGTTGAGAATCAAGGGGATTTCATCCGGAAAATCGAGTGTTTGTCCTCCAAGTTCATTGTAGATTTGGGGATCATTTTAATAAGAAATCCTAGTTGGGGTTTTCCTTCAAGATCATGGTGATTTGAAAGTTTTAGACAAGGCTACGCAATTTGGATTCGATTGAGTGAAGACCTTGAAGAATGGGTGGTTCTTGCAAGCCTAGTCGCATGAGACAATGAATCAAATTGGTAGATCTTGGGTTACAAAAATTCATAGTTCAGATTCTGCCAAGTGAACATTGAAGACAGATTTCCGTCAACTTAGTAGTGCGAGACGATGGATCAGATTGATTTGTTGGGGTGTAATAGTTGTAATTGATCGTGCACAAAAGCTTTAGAGATAAAGTACACAAAGGAGTAGAAAAATTCGATAAATCAATTTGAAACCTATTGTTTTCTTTGAAGGATTTCTCTTGAAACACTTCTCTTGTAATGATACTTTTGCAAATAGTATGAAATTGGTCTCAATTCCAAAACGGAATTGGGGGGAGACGTAGCCATAACAAGGACGGTTGGTGAATTTCTTAAAAAATCCCCGTGTTCTCTCTCTCTATCTCTCTTTATCTCTTTACAATTTTGTTAGCAATTTATTATACTCTTGATTGTGCAAATTGATTAGGTTAGAAATATCCTTTGAAAGTTTAACTCATTTTGTTGTTTTTCTTACAATTCCTTTGATTGTAAGAGGTTTTAGCATCAACAAAATTCAAAGGAAATTCTGGAAAATCAAAGTGCACACTAAGGGTTCGATAAATTCTCTAAATAAGTTTTACCTTCAATTTCATTGGAAATAGGTTACTTGATTGATTACATTCAAAAAGTTGATTGAGAATTTTCTGTTTTGCTCACTTATCATCTTTACTTAAAGTGAATTGATTGAACGCATATCCGAGCTCCAATAATCGAGTGCGTTTAGAGGACTTCGATCAAGGACACGACTTCTGCTAACCATTGTTTTTAACTTGATTTAAAAGTTGTTTTAAAATTAAATTTTGAATTGGGTATCTATTCACCCCTCTAGATAATTTGGCATCG